TTTGACACGACTACGGTGGCCGTCGTATGTATGAAGTGATTTGGTTGTGCATGGACTGTTTTGGGAGGCTCAATATGATTATTATTGATGTTGTTTCGGCTGTTTGGTGATTGTTTGGAATTGTGTGAAGTCATATATATAGGGGAGGTGCTGTCCGCTTCATCGTAAAATAGGTTGTGGTCGATACATAATAGTTATGACGCTTGAATGGTAACTATAGTATCGTTTCTCTTATTGTAGACTAAGGAGTCGTGAAAATTGCATAGCTTGAGATTGGGGCAGTATATACAAGGTATGTGAGGCTATCCCTTTCCTTCTTTTGCACGACTCCGATTGTACATAATGTAATGAACGAGCTTCCAAAGATACTCTACTCTTAGAAGCTAGCAGTACTTACATTGTTTCCCCTCTTATGGAACGATTGATGTTGATGTTGCTTCTCTTATTCTTATGTTATCAATGTTATTGGTACTTCCTGATTCTTATAAGGTTCATGGTGAAGAGTTAGTCCTAATAACGTGTACACAGGATACCGACCTTACGTCACTCCGAAAGGTTTAGAACGTGAGTCCATGAGTCGAGCATGCAATATATATATGTATCTATTTTACTCTACCGAGCCGCGCTATAGACGGCCGGGTATGGCACCTATTGTGCAACCACTGATCAGTTGGGTTTTACCGAGCTCCACGTGGCCGGGTACGATTCTACCGAGCCTTATGATGGCCGGGTACGTTTTTACCGAGCCTATTACGGCCGGGTACGATATGATGATGATGATGCCCACAGAGGCGTATGTTTTAAAAGTTTATGTATATATACATATGTATCACGCATTTCATGTCAGTAGCCCTCAGAGGTACCCAGATGTTACAGGTTGTTTATTCTCTATCCCTGCTTACATTACTGTTCGTACTTATTGTTCCCTGCCTTACATACTCAGTACTTTATTCGTACTGACGTCCTTTTATTTGTGGACGCTGCATGTCGTGCTGCAGGTCCTGATAGACAGGCAGGCGCAGCACCCCCACCATAGTAGGCTGTCCAGTTCAGCGGTGATTAGCGAGATCCCTTCTTCGGACTTGCCGTGGTCTTGGTATGCATTTTTGTTATAGACATTATGGGTATGTCGGGGCCCTGTTCCGGCTATGTTGCAACACTTATTTTCCTTTAGAGGCTCATAGACAGGTGTCGACTCATGTATAGTTTGGTAGGCCTTGTCGGCTGGTTTTTGCTGTATAGTCTCTCATAGTAGCGTGGTAGCTCGTACCTTATATATAGTTTCTTGATTGTCTAGTCATCCCATGTTATGTATGTTCATGCCATCATATTTTATTGTTGGTTGTCCACGACCATGTCTACTATTTATATTGATCTCGTCAGCCCTAAAGGATAATAAAGAAGGTTAGATAAAATGTATGTTGGTGCTCGGTAAGTATGGGCGAGTGCTAGTCATGGCCCTCCAATTTGGGTCGTGACATAAGCACTGCAACATGTCCAACAATGCTAGGTTACTTAGAGCCCCTAGATACCCTAGACACCCAAAATCAACGATCTGGCAGAGCATCTTAAGGGGTTGGGAAACATGCAATAAAGCAAGCAGATGGATAGTACACAAGGAAAACAGGGTCAGTTTCTTAAATGATGCATGGATCCCCAATCAGCCAGCAATCAGACAGTTGATTGAGGGCCCTTTTAAACCAAAATGACCTCAATGCTAAGGTTAGCTCAATCCATAACATAGGAACTTGGGACACATCTTCTTTGTCTATTTCCCTCCCCCCAAGTATCCTGAATCTGTTAAACACAGTGTTTATTCCCCCTGTTCCAGCTAAAGAAGACAACCTCATATGGAACTTGACTCATAATGGACAATTCTCAAATAGTTCTGCTTACTCCCTCCTAAGCAGGACTGACACCAGACTCCATTCTAGTGAGGAGGGCTCCTTCAAATGGATCTGGAAGCTGCAAACTCCCAACAAAATCAAGAATTTCATTTGGCTCCTTACCCATAAAAGAATCCCAACAAGGAGATTCCTCCATAGAATTGGGATCAACTGTGACCCCAATGTCCCTATTGTAACAATGGTCAGGAAACTATTAACCATATCTTCTTTGAGTTCTCAAATGCAATCCACTTCTGGAATGAAATTCTGTCAAAATCTTCAAGTCACAATTATCATCAGACTCTAGTATTCAATGGCCACCAGTGGCAATCAACATGGAACTCAATCAGAAATGTCCCTTTCAACAGCTATATCCTATAGGAAAATCCCATTCCCTTCTGCTTCTGGCACATTTGGTTAACTAGAAACAACAACTTATACAATAACGAGAAGGAAGACATCAACTCCACAAACACAATCTCTAAAGCTAAGGAATACCTTATGCTTACAAAAAATGGCTCTAGAAAAATAACTCATCAAATTGCATTAAAATGGGAGCCCCCAAGCAGAGGTTTCTACAAGCTAAACACAGATGGAGCAGCAAGGGAGAATCCAGGGATAGGAGGATCGGGTGGAGTATTTAGGAATCACAATGGCGACTGGATAATGGGGTATATGGATAATATCTCTCAAACAACAAACACTAGGGCATAATTACAGGCACTCCTAAGGGGTCTACAACTTGCGGAGCAAAATAACTTGACTCCTCTGGAAATTAACATTGACTCTTCTGAAATCATCAATATGCTATCGAAAGGAAGCCTTATTTATGATCCTTTAATTTGTGAATGCAGTTCACTAATTCACATGATGGACAGTGTGGTAGTGAAGCACATCTATCGGGAGCAGAACAGAGTAGCTGATGCACTCGCCAATGAAGCAGCAAAAGAAGTCTTTTTGAACAAGTCCAGGATGCAATCAGTTCCTCCGATGTTTGTCAATGATATATTTTGGGCAGACATCCTAGGAACTGAATTAGTTAAAACTTTTGTGGGTTGTAATATGGACACAATTGTGCATAACATTACTTCTTTGGGGGTACTACAATACCCTAGCACTGATTCTGATGTACTATCTTTTGTTATCTAGACTATAATATAATATCCCTTTAACCAAAAAAAAACGTAGTAACTCCATTTCATAAAAAGAAAAAATACTTTTAGAACTTCTAATCATAAACACGTAATAATATTTATGTAGCTAAATTCTTTTGAAACTTATTGTATTAAACATAATAATGTATTTGTGTGACTATAAAAACTTCTTATTAAAAATAAAGTTAAGAATTTAAGTTAAATTATTTTCTTTAAAACTGGGTCATTCTTTTTAAAGGACCAAAAAGAAAAAGTTTACATAAATTGGAATGGAATCTTGCATAAATATCGATTAGATTAACTCTATCTTTTTAGGTTATTAATCAAATATATTAATCCACAAAAATCGTTCTAAATAATTAATTTTTCGTGACCCGCTATTCAGTGTGGGGAAAAGAAAGATGAGTAACAAATACTCCCTCATTCCAATAGGCAACAAGAATAAATTAAATTTATTGGTATGTCCAATTATTGGTATTATATTTGCGTATTGATTAAATTTATTTACTTAAAAGAGATATAAAACGTGTTATAAATTATAGTAAATTTTTCCAATGAAATAATTTTAAATTATTTGGAAGATCATAGTTAACAAAAATTGTTGGATTCTTAACAGCAATAGGGTCCTTTCTTCATCATACTAGGAAGAACATTTTATAGTCGAAATTGAACTTGTGAAGTTGCAGATATCATATCATACGAATTTGAGTTTGACTTGCATTTACCATCAAAATTTAATTGAAAATTTTGTACTTATCAAATTGAAAAAGTTGCTGAAGAGAAAGTTAAAATAGCACAGGCTAGCAAGTTTTCGGACTGGTCATTCAAAAATAGCCAGCATTTGCCAAGTCATTGAAAAATAGCCACTATTTTGCTGCAACAGAGACCGGTCCAACATAATATACTGGAATTCGGTGCACCTGTATATGAACTTCCAGCTTATTATGCAGGACCGGTATACTTTGATGGCTTCGGTATAATATATTGGAGTTCCAGTATATTATACTGGAGTTCCAATATATTATGCTGAAGTATTTTCCGGATTTTGAACAGTGTTTTCGTTCGAATTTATCTTTGCATGAAAAGTGGCTAAATTTCGATGACTTTTGAAACTGTGGCTATTTTTGAATGACCGCGTGTAAGTTTGGCTATTTTTGAATTTCTCCCGAAGAGAAATGTATTGAATTTTTTAAAGTGATATTCTTACTTGATTGAGATTTTTGATTAAAGTATAAAAATTTTATTAAAAAAATAATAAAATATCAATAAATTTATCAGGAAATTCACAAAAGAGAACAATGGAGTTTTTTATTCAAATCATAAACCCCTATCAAGAATAATTTTTTCGTAAATTTTTTGCTTTTTTCGGAATAAATGTTGATTTTGTATTTTAATTAAAAAATTCCGAAATAAATATTTTTTTTTCAAAATTTTTTACTTTTTTCAGAATAAATATTGATTTTGTATTTTATTAAAAATTTCTGGGAAAAAAAAATTCCGAAAAAATAATTTTTTTATATGGATTGCTTAGGTGGACGACCATGTAAGCAATTCTAACGCAGTTGGACTGCCATATCAACTTCAATAGCAAAACTAATAGTTTAGGGGTATTTTTAGGCCAAAACATAGACGGGAGGGATATTTTTGGCACAAAAAACAAACGGAGGATATTTTTGAGCTATTTCGAATAGTTTAAGGATATTTTTGGACCTTTTCGCTTTTTTTTACATATTTACTTTTACACATAAAAAAATCTATATTGTACAAATAAAAAATCTAAAATGATCATTTTTTCAATTTCAAAATTGTAAAGGGCCCCCATTTCCTCCTCGTGTTTATGTTCTGTCACCAGATTTGGAATAAAATATAAATGACCAAAGTTGTGAGTTGTGACACGATCCAAAGCTTCAACAATAACACGACGGCAACTCATTATAATTCCACAGTTAGGTCTGGGGAATATAGTGTGTACGGGATAGAGAGAACTTACCACATCGCTCTTTGCGACTCCAACTCACAATCTCTTGCAAGTAGAAGTAGAGGTTACTTGCAACCCTTCTTGTCTATCATCCGAAGCTTGCTTCTTCCTAAAACCCATAACATTAACCAAATCATATGCGCTTCAATCCTCAAATAATTCGAACTGGTTAAATGAATCATCTGTACTTGCTCCGTTCTACCCGGTTAACTTTTCAGTATCTGCCAGTCTATATAAGAGTCCAAAGCTCACCCTGTAGACACCTTCGCCAAACCACAGAAGCTCGTGGACATTTGCACAACCCTGGAGTTTCAACCATTGAGCCCGAATTCCTCCCTTCTCAATCTGATACAGATGCAGATTCATTGTTCGATGAATTGCCTAAATGTGATGTAGTATCTGCTACAGCTTTGGTTAGCCAATTTGCTAGACTAAATCAACACAAGAAAGCAATAACTATCTTCTCAAGAATGTTTGAGTTGAATTTTAGACCCAATGAGTTCACTTTAGGCACTGTAATTCACTCTTCTGTTGTTCTTAAAGACATTAATTTAGGAAAGCAACTTCATGCCATTTCAATAAAACTTGGCCTTCACTCAAATGTTTACGTGGGTAGTGCACTTTTGGATCTCTATGTAAAGCTAAGCAGCATTGAGGAAGCTCAGCTTGTTTTTCATGATACCCACAAACCAAATGTGGTTTCTTACACCACTTTAATATGTGGGTATATCGAAAAAAGAGAAGTTTGATGAAGCTATGGAAATCTTTAGGATAATCCCTGAGAGAAATGTTGTTTCTTGGAATGCTATGATTAGTGGGTATAGCCAGAAAGGACGTAACGAAGAAGCGGTTAATATTTTCGTTGAGATGTTGAGACAAGGTGTTGTACCTGATCAATCGACATTCCCTTCTTTATTCAGTGCAGCTGCCAATATTGCAGCATTGGGAAGGGGAAAGAGTTTTCATGCTTGTGCGGTTAAGTTCTTGGGTGGACTTGGTTTGTTTATAGGCAATTCTCTTGTTAGCTTTTATGCAAAATGTGGGATCTTAGAGGATAGTTTCCAGGTTTTTTATAGACTTCCTGAAAGAAATGTTGTAACTTGGAATGCTCTGATATGCGCTCATGCTCAAAATGGGGAGGGAGAGTAGCAATTGACTTGTCTCAGAGAATGAAAGACATGGGAATTAAGCCAAATAGTGTCACTCTTCTTGGTTTGTTATTGGCATGTAGTCATGTTTGTCTTGTTGATGAAGCTTATTCATATTTCGAGCAGGCAAGAATTCAGGATGCTAGTTTGCTGAAATCTGAGCACTATGCATGTATGGTTGATCTATTATCGCGTTCAGGGAGGTTTCAACAAGCTGAGAAATTTATTCATGACTTGCACTTTGATCCAGGTATAGGCTTTTGGAAGGCTTTGTTAGGTGGCTGCCAGATTCACTCGAATACAAAGCTAGGAGAATATGCTGCCCAAAAGGTATTGGCTTTAGAGCCTGGAGATGTGTCATCATATGTGATGCTTTCAAATGCACATTCTGCTGCTGGAAGATGGCAGAGCGTGTCAATCGTAAGGAAGGAAATGAGGATAAAAGGACTGAAGACGGTCCCTGGATGTAGTTGGATTGAAATTAAATGCAAAATTCATGTATTTGTTACTGGAGAAAAGAGACATGCCCACAAGCCAGAGATTTATGAACTACTGGATTACTTTCTTAAGCATGGAATGAAGAGCCAAGAAGCTGATTTTCTTTAAGAATCTTGATACACAGCTCCACAGGTATCAGTGAACTGTAAAGATACTAAGAAGACGGAGAAGACTGCCGTTCTTGCCTAATTTGTGATGTACTGCAGCACTGGTATCGATGCTCCAGTCCTGGGAAAAATGGCATCAGCTATAGCCAATCTAATATGCTCAAATGCTGCAGTTAGACTCACTTTACTCATATAGTGTGGCTTCTGAACAAAGGTCAAAACTCTGCCTCAAAGGGAACTGCAAAGTGTTGATAGCTGATGCGATGAAAATATACTAAAACCAGCCAAAAGAGCTAGAGTGAAGCTTTACAGATAATGCTACTATCTGAGGAATGACGATATCCAAGTAACCCTCAAAACAGTGTCTATCAACCGGGTATATAATCACGGATGAGCAACGATATTCTTAACGCTACTGCTTTGCTGCTTCCGAAGCACGAGGATTGAGATCAATGCTCATTAAAGCAATTCCGTACAAGGTTTGTCACTGAAACGTCGTTACAAAATTGATGGTTAAATGACACTTGACTGTGGTATACCTTGTGATCCCACTTGGCAGATTATAACGTAGTCTTACAAAAGCTTATATGCTAGTTGAACCAATAATATGATATGACAAGGAAATGCGCATAATGTTGCAGAAACAATAATATGATTTGCCAGGCAAATGAGCACAGTGATACAGAAACTACTCGACTACTCGTAAGAACCATATAAACACAAAAAAGTTATCAGGAGCTTTAGTGTGTTAATTTCGAATCTATTCCATGACCATGTAATTTAAAACCAAAAAGGAAACAGATGAAACTGAGTTTTTTATATCCTTGACAATGGGTAACGCGAAAAGTGAATTGATAAACACCTGGTAAATAATATACTACTAAAGTTCCTGCTAATTATTCGTGATTTGCCCTTTGATCCAGGTATAGGCTTTTAGAATGCATTGTTAGGAAGCTGCCAGATTCACTCGAATATAAAGCTAGAGGAATATGCTTCCCAAAAGGTATTGACTTTCGAGCCCAGAGATGTGTCGTCATGTGTGATGCTTTCAAATGCACATTTTGCAGCTGGAAGATGGCAACAACAACAACCCGGTATAATCCCACTTAGTGGGGTCTGGGGAGGGTAGTGTGTACGCAGACCTTACCCCTACCCTGGGGTAGAGAGGCTGTTTCCAAATAGACCCACGACATCCTTCCCTCCAAGAACTTCCCACCTTGCTCTTGGGGAGACTCGAACTCACAACCTCTTGGTTGGAAGCGGATGTTGCTTACCATCAGAGCAACCCCTCTTGTCACTTGCTGGAAGATGGCAGTGTGTGTCAATTGTAAAGAATGAAATGAGGAAAAAAAGATTGAAGAGGGTACCTGAGTGTAGTTGGATTGAAATCAAATGCAAAATCCATGTACATTTGTTACTGGAGACAAAGAGACATGCCCTCAAGCCTGAGATTTATGAACTACTGGGATACTTTCTTGAGCATGCAAGAATGAAGAGCCAAGAAACTGATTTTCAAGAATTATGAAAGACAGCTGCTCCACGCTTCAATGTCCCACTGACACGACACGAAATGATGCTGAGAAAACAAAGGTATCGTCATTGTCTCCCCCTTGTAATTCTTGATGTGCTGAAGCAGAGGTATAAATGAACTGTAAAGTTATGAAGAAGTTCAAAACTGGACCAAGTCAAGTTTCTTGCTAGTGAAGTAAAGATGATATAATAGGCTCAAATGGTGCATTTAGAATCATATACTGCGGCATATGAACAAAGGTCAAGACGCTGCCTCAAAAGGGAATTGCGAAGTGCTGAAAGGTGCTGTGAAGATATACCAAAACCAGCTAAAGGAGTATGAGCGAAGTTTTCCAGATGTGCTATGATACAAGGATATCCAGGGTAACAAGGTTATGAAAACGCCTTGAAGTAGCAACTGGGTATATAATCCAGATGAGTTGGTGTGCTTTTAGGGGTCGTTTGGTAGGATGTGTTAGGGAAAATCAATGATATGTATTAGTTTTGATATTATTAATATCTTTCTTTGATAGTGTTTTTCAATTTATATATAACTATTTGGTATTATCATATGTATAACTAATACATAGCAAACCATAGCATTAGTAATACCATGATTTTTAATACATGGATAAGCATGTATACCCCTTATACACCAATCCAAACAATGGATAAGAAATAACCACACCATCACTTATCAAACGACTTCTTAAAGTTACTTGTTTGTTCAATTCCAAACAACCCCTTAAAGTTACTTGTTTGTTCAATTCAAATCATGTGGATTGATTTCACTATCCATCAAGGAATTATGAGCAGGTTCATCATTAAAACATTTTTACAAGTTGATGGTTAAATGACACTCGACGGTGTTATAAGTTATAATCCGTGATCCCGCTCGTCAAGGATATGAGCATAATGACGCGGAAACTACTCGTAAGAACCATATAAACAATAAAAAGTTACCATATAATTTCTGGTATAAATATAAAAAGAAAAGAACAGAGGAATCCTCTTAAACACCTGATAACGAATAAAACTTAAACTAAAGCAAAGCTCACATTCATTTCATTGGATCTGCAAGCTTAGGATTCTTGACCCCCTCCGCCTCTAAGGGTTTAGGAACACAGCTAAGGACTCAGAGAATTTCGAGAAAGAAAAACTGCAGCATAAAGTTGATTTCTCTTATACGGAACAAAACATGTCTCCAAAACACAAAATTCAAAATGAAAAATAGAAGGCACTTCCATTCAAGTGTATCTTAAAACTCAAATCCAAGATTTTAAATTCTCGTAAAATTCTAAACAGGTAACTAGTTTAGATGATTCCAATTTTGTTGGCAACGTCCAATGCATCGTAGTCGGGAGTCAACCTCACGTATGCTTTCTTAGTCCAGGCAACACTTCTAGCAATGCTTTCCACCTCTCTGCTCACCTTCCCAAAAATTCTTTGATTTCTTTCCAACCAAATAGCCTGCACAGTCTCTGCATACACTATCCTGAATATTTGAGCATGCTATGCCTTCCCGTTTGGAGTTCTTGACAACCTACTATCTTGATTTTGATGTTACATTTTGTCACTTTGCTTTTTACAGGCCTGACTCTTATCTAGTCTGCTAAACTGAAAGCTTTTACTCTTAGCCTAGTTGTTTTGAATTAGGAAATGCTGCCAAGATTGGGTCAACACCATAGCATTAGGGGGAAGATGCAGATAAAAGGACAATAGTCTGATGTCAGCTTCTACGGCATAAGTAAGCTAAGTCATCCATTTAGATATCATATTTAAAAAAAGTCATCCATTTAGGATGAGGGAATAAGAACAAAGGGTGAAAAATTAATCAAGCCTCTCTGACTTTGCTGTGCTCATCACCGTCTAAAACAGATTAAACAGTAATCTATTGCTCTCCCTTGTCGCCCAATTTCATGACATGAATAAATGATACATATTTTATGCACCAGCTTGATCGATCCAGAGTGTCAAAGTAAAGCATAGTATTAAATATGAAGTGGGGAGGTAAATGGACATCATTCACTTAGTATTCATTCCAATTTTCATATTTTTCTATGAGCACCCGCGTTAATGTAAGATTTGAGGTTTACTACATTCCAATCAGTGAGTGCCATAGAAGTGGGTGCCTTTAACCTGTTTTGAAAAAGTATTAAAGAGTATGGAGAAAATGTTGATCTTTTAAGAGAGTGTTATTCTTTTGGGATAACCCACAAAAGAAAGTAGAAATACTTTATTTGCGGGGGTGGGGTGGGGGTTGTCGATCCTTTTGGGGAAGGGATTTCCCTAGTATAAAAAATGTTTGTGAAACTAAACTAATGTTTGTGGAACTTTATTTTGTTTTCGAAATGGCATATTGTCTAGTTCGTGATTGTTTTCTTATTTCTCCCCTTTCTGCAACGTGAAAAGTCTTTACTACTGATGTCACTTTCCCGCTCTTGCTATGAAGTTCCTGCTGCGACCTGCAAAAGATGGTTCCTACTTCAAGAATGTACCAAATTCAAGTGCTATTAAGCTCATTGACTTCGGCAGTACTACGTTTGAACATCAGGATCATACTTATGTGGTGTCTACACGTCATTACCGTGCTCCAGAGGTTATTTTAGGTAGCCACTATCTCATTTCAGATTTGCATCTTTTAGTTCCTTGCCAGTCTTTTAGTTTGTTTTATGCTGTTTTTATAGGTCTTGGATGGAATTATCCCTGTGATATGTGGAGTATAGGTTGCATACTTGTTGAGCTTTGCTCTGTAAGTGAGAGTTGATTATGTGTATGATTTTACATTCATGTTTGTTATTTATCTTGTTTGTTTGTTACGTTATTTTTTCCTCCCAAGCAGAGCATTTAAGATATTGAGGATTCTTATAGCTGATCCCAACTAGCTTGGGATTGAGGCATAGTTGTTGTTTCTTTCTTTTTTGCTTGTATTGTCATGAGATAATGATTGGTAGGGCTGCTCGGTTTCATCTTCTTCAGTTACTATTCTACCATCAGACTTAGTTACGTGAAGTAAGAGGCTAGAGGACTATTATGCCCTAGGGTCTGGCCTAATTGTCTAAATGGCAACACGATATACAACATTTGCTCCTGATGCTATTTTGTACATAATACACATAAAACCCCCAGACAGAGGGCTTTAATGAGTACCCAATGAGGTGATACTGGAGAAAAATTGTTATGCTACAATTCCGCACCACCATCACACTTTGTTACGTGAAGGAAGAGGCTAGAGGACTATTATGCCCTCTGATCTGGCCTAATGTCTAAATGGCAACACAATATGCAACATTAGCTCCTGACGCTATTTTGTCCATAGTAACCATAAAACCCAGAGACCGAGGGCTTTGAAGTGATTATTTACCATTAGTGAGTACCCAATGAGGCGACACTGGAGAATGATTCCTGTGAATCACCCTTGACCTATTGAATACAGTGGCTATACTCAACAAAAATCCATGGACAAATCATCCTTTCACCTATAACACATGTGCTCCATGATAATCAATAGGCTCAGCTTGTTTCCATTGAAAAGGGGTCATAATTCAGTGATGCACAGGTGCTTTCTGAAAATGATTCTAATCGTTTTGTTAGAAAATGAAAGAAATGTTCTTTTTCTGTCACAGTATTATCAAAGGCGCGCTTAAGCCCTGAAGCGAGGCTCAAAACATGTTGAGCACTTCGCCTCGCTTAGCGGGCGCTTCAGTATTGTCATCAAGGTTCTAAGCCATACTTTTCCTTGCTAACAAGCGTAATCCGGAAGAGACGACACTAAACAATTGATATTTCACTTTATCGTAAAATTTCTTCAATTTCTTTGTCCATATATTTGGTATATTTATGCTTATAGATATTAGTCTTGGACTACACATACATATTTGTAGTTTTTCTCCATTTGCGCCTTTTTTTAATTAAAGCCCACGCTTTATTTGCGCTTTGTGCTTAAAGCCCCAACAGACCTTAGAGCTTTTTTGCGCTTTTCGCCTTTGATCACACTGATCTTTCACATGGTTCTTTCATTCAAATGGATTAGTTATCTTCCTTTTCCTATTAATGTCTGACAAGATTTTGGGGCAACTCCGTGAATATAATAAGCAACCCTTATTTGAAAATGTGGGTAAGTTATTGAAAAAATTAGGGATGACTACATAATGCTTGAAATGGATTCTTGTATCTCATTATCGAAAAAAAGGATTCTTGTTTCTCATGCCAGCATCCCTTGTGTGCTAGCTAGTTAAATTCCCTCGGGATTGCTTTATTCTAGTGATCTCAGGTTTAATCTAGGTTAAGATATCTTTTTCTTTGCCAAAACATTCTTATGTTTGTTGCCAAACATTGAAGAAATTTTACGATAAAGTGAAATATCAATTGTTTAGTGTCGTCTCTTCCGGATTACGAGCAAGGAAAAGTATACCTAAAGAAAAGTATGCCTTAGGTTTGTTGTTGCTCTATAAGCTACTTATATTTCTTTCTGATTTTTCTGTCAAATGTTTGCACATCTGATATGATTATTTTATAAAATTTCATTTTCTAACTTTTGCTCCCCCCCCCACCCCCCACCCCAATAACCCCGATGGACATATAGGGCGAGGCTCTTTTTCAAACACATGAGAACTTAGAACATCTCGCAATGATGGAAAAGGTGCTAGGGCCTCTTCCTCAACACATGTCTGTGAGAGCTGAGTAAGATTTTGCTTTCTTTTGATTTCATTGATAGTTTATGTTATTTCATCAAATAGCACAAGTTTTACTTGCCTCACTTTTTGTAGTCGCCGTGCTGAGAAATATTTTAGAAGGGGTGCAAGGTTGGATTGGCCAGAGCGTGCAACTTCAAGTGAAAGTATGAGGGCTGTCTGGAAATTGCCTCGCCTCCAGGTAATTCCTGAATCTAAGCTCTATCCGAAGGTGCAAAATCTTTTTGTTTTTAATCTGGTGAGATAGAATTTCATGACGCCTTGTTGCGAGTGTTAAGCTTCTCAAGGAGCACAAGTGCAGATGTGTGGATTTTGCTTTTAGTGTGTAGGACTTATCTTAATCCTTTATCTTTTCTTCTTTCGTTTTGGTCTTCCCTATCTTCTAGCAACTGCTATCACAAATGTAATTGCCTATAGTTTGAGTTGGAAGTTTGAAAAGCTATAGTAAGCGTTGTGAACAATACCTCTTTCATGTTTTCTGGTGTTCTCTATCTCACCCTCAGCTGCTTGTATATTTGTTTAATTAGGTTTCTCCTTTTCTCCGAGGGAAATGATGGATTTTGGGGTAGTATTAATATATCTTGATAACGGAAGTTTCCCTACTGCCTGTACATTGTTGAGTAGTTTGACTAAATGGAACTGCATGATTGGATATTGCAGTTTGTTTGCTGTACTGATCCATTGGTTTATATCGTTGAGAGTTGTTTCATTGATAATGGATCTATGAGTGTTTTGAAGCTTTAATACTCTACTTTTTCTTTAAATTACTTTTCATTTATTGAGTTGTTTTTTCTTTCTTTCATATTCCAGAACCTAATAATGCAGCATGTGGACCACTCTGCTGGAGATCTCATTGATCTTCTGCAAGGGCTTCTTTGTTTTGGCCCAACAGAACGGCTGAAAGCTAGAGAAGCATTACGGCACCCCTTCTTTACTAGAGACCTGAGAAGGTGTGGTTATCCAATGTAATTGACATCCTCTTATTTTAATCTGTGTTTCAGTTGAAAAGATGTGTGAATGAGTCCTTATAATGAAATTTCCCCCCTCCCGCACGGGAAAAACGAATAAAAAGAAGAAAATGAAATAAAAAGCAAATCCCAAGGAAGAAGATAGAAGATCAAGGTAGGGATGCATGCGTCATATTTCCAGTATGCCTGTCCTTGTATAGTGTTGCTTCTCTTGTCAGCTCTGTTTTTTTTTTTTTTGGGCACTTGTTGCACTAATCATCCTGATCTCTCATCTGTTCTTTGGTACTTCTTTTTGGTTCTTTCATGGTGTGATAATATGAAACTAATGTTGGTGGATTATTTAAATAAGTGGTAAAGTATAGCTCAATACTCGTGAGTCGGGAGTAGGGGGACGAGAGTGCTGTTATGAATTTAGTAGATGTTGGATTTGCAAAAGTGAGTAATTTAAAGTGGACAAGAATTTCATTTCCAGATTTATGTAGTACTATTTATTGTTAAATACTTGTGAGTTTTTGGACCAACAATGCAGTATAAATCCTGTAGATGTTGGATCCTAAAGTGATTGAAAGTGCAAAAGGTGGAGATTTTCCTGGGTTATATGTACCCCATTAGGAAGGTTAAAATTTGCATTTCTTTTGACAGCCTTAAACAGGTTCACTTTAACGAAATTAATACCCTTGGAGTGTTTCATGTGCTGATCTGTCAGCTTGTTCCGTTGCTTTCTTCCTCTAATTGTGTTAATCTCTTATTCTGTTATTCCTTCCTTGAATTTTTAAAATGAACAGTGTCTACGGCTGTGTGCCCTATTGAGAAGAGTAAATCACCTATCCTTATACGGTTAGACCTCTCTATAACAACATCCCTATATAACCACACTTTCACTATAAAAGCCGAGCTTTTTCCGGAACCAAATTTCATGTTATGTTATATTATATGTTCTCTATAACAGACTTCGCTATAACATCCAAGAATATTCGGAACAAACGAGGCTGTTATAGAGAAGTTTGACTGTAATTATTATTCTTTAAAAAAGAACACTTGTCCCTTACCACAGTACGGTTAATACTCTTTTACTATCTGGGAATATTCTTTTTTGCTCTTTTCTTTTGGAACAAAATGGTTTGGGATCCTGTTTCTGGAGATGGTGGTGTGGGGGAGAGTGGGTGGCCTCTACGTATTGTTGACTGATAGGGGTTGGTCAAGCCTTATCGACGGTGGTGGATCCAGGATTTGAAGACCGTGAGTTCTATTAAAATGTGGTCAAGCCTTATTGACGCTAATGGATCCAGGATCTGAACACCACGGGTTCAACTGAAGTCAGTACCGTATTTGTTAACTGATAGGGGTTGGTTGTGCCTTTCAAATGGTGGCGGATTCCTGGATATGAACACCGTGGATTCTACTAAAAGTTGGAGCTACGAAAAACTATTTGTGTGACTCGAACCCAGAGCTACCATGTGGTTAGCCTCCACTCTCAAGGTTTTCACCACTGAGCTAAATAGTTATCTAATGTTATAGGTCCATATTCTGTTTTTCTCACTTTTAGTTAGCATTTCACATTTTCGCCTAAACCCACTGGCTTGAAATTAATTTTCCTGGGAAGATATGTTATCCCTATGCAATGCATATAGAGGCAAGTTTCTGAATGGTTGGTTCTTTAGTTGTCTTTCATTTTAGCAATTGAGCAAATCTTTTATAAGTGCAATGTTTAGATAAAACTTGAAGATAATGTTCTCTTTTAAAGCCTAATAAGTGGCTTGTCTTGTGTCGCCATGGAAACCTCCTTGACAGCAAGCACAATTTGGTGATTTTTCTGGTGCATTTCTATAGTTTGCTGTATTTGCATATAGCCGCTAATGAGTTCTAATGAGTTTAGAGTGACGATCTTACTTACCAAGGCTCAAATCCTACTGGTGTTATTTCCATTTGCTTAAGTTTTGGTGGGCTGATTACCTCGTTTGTGGTAGTGAGAGGCAGCAAATAACCAGTGAATATGCAGAGATGCGCATAAGCTGGTTTGAACGCCTCCATTTTACAAAAAAGGAGGAAAGTCTGTCCTATGTGTGCGCACTCGCTCATGCATGAAGAGAAAAAGGTTTGTATCTCTACTTCGTGTTATGTTAGCTTTCTCAATCTGTGATTCAAAACCCCAGCCTTTGATTTCCTACTAATTTTGCGGGGCTGGGATCTTATTCCCGAAATCGTCTCTCGTTTCTATTGCTGTCTCGAAGTCAATAGGCAAAAGCCATGGGAGCCATTTTTGCTCACTTTAAATTCATTTGTATTTGTACTGATTTGAAACGAGTGATACTTAATTGCACGTGATTTTATTCTAGCTGGGATGGAGACAATAGGTCTTCCACACAAGCATTACTCAACGGATTATAGAGTTAGTTTCTTTTTTTAACTGTTTGGTGTAAGGTATGCGTATACTTTGATTTGTTTCCACATGTTATTACTTGTTTTATGTCACCAATCAAAGCTTCGATAAGTACCTGTCACACCTCCTTTTTTACACACCCACCCCGAAGGATAAATATATAAGGGAGTTTTTCCATTTAAAGTGACATTATTCGAAATGGGATTATTTATTTGATTTTTAGAGTCGCCACTTGGGATAGGACGGGCTTTTGGTGTCCCAAGTCACCGATTTAATTTACATCCCAGATCGAGGAATATTTCGACTTCCCAATTGGAGTCTGCGAACCAGAGATTCTGTGTAAGGAATTCTGTTGACCCGAGGGAAGGTGTTAGGCACCCCCGGATCCCGTGGTTCTAGCACGGTCGCTTAAATTATTACAAATGGCTAAAAATCTGATTTTTATACAAGTTCAAACCTATAGTGCAATTTTATAAATTATTTACCGCTTTTATTTACTTTTTACGAAAGTGAACGCCGTTTAAGACGTGTTTTTGGATCACGTCACATAAAATGCACCCGGATCCTCAACACCTCTTATTCAACGTTTTGGGATTTGGATTTGGGTCACATGAAATGCACACCCGACTTTAGGAAAGTAATATTATCAAAGAATGCTCCTAAAGCGACTAACGTGTTATTAACTTTGCGGGGGCCATGGAAATTCGCTAAATGGCACACCCAATTTCTAAAATATTTTACTATAGTATTTAATGAGGGCCCCGCAGTTTATATGTTTTATGCGGCGAGGCTCGTCTCATGCCTTATTTAAAAATTAAAAAAAAACCATCTTAAAAGAAAACTACGATTTCTATTACAGTGTTGTCCCTAAACAGGCCCTAATTGATTCGCATTTATAAATCAGGGCCTCAAATTCAAGTCTGAATTCAAACAAAAGGGAAGACCCTCTTAATTTGAACCCACCACCTAATTTGAAACCCGTATTTATATTTGTGAATTAACTCCCAGCTTAATTTTAAGATTAGCCCAGCTTTGGGCTTCTTATGTCCTTGGGGCATAAGCCTGGCTGCAAGGCTGCCCAATACCAAGCCATGGCATAAGCCCAAGTTTATTCACCAAAGCTGGGCAGCCTGGGCCTGTGACAGACCTAAAGGACCGATTCCAAATTGATTTTGGGCCTGTTAAATTGCTCTTCATGGCTCTAACAGCCCAGGCATTCACAACTAAACTGAGTGCCCTTTTCTTACAACAAAAATCCTGTTTCTAATAAGACATTAGTGTTTTAAAGCTACAATCGCCATCAGAAGTTAATTCGTGGTATAAATGTAAAATTAATCCTCAAATGCGGTCCGTATAGACTATTCTTCAGGCCTATTAATCCGCAGTTACATGGACACAAATATGTAATGGTCTCAAAATCAGTTACAAATACAAATACTTCAGTGTGAGGTTAAATCTAAATAAACTTCTGAATTAACCTATGCTAGAACTAAATTACTGAATAAATTCACGCTAATTTAACAGTCCAATTATTACAATTTATCAAAAGTCCAGATAGTCTATGCTTCAAATGCTACTACTACGTAATCTATTATGTAAGCTAACATGTACGCAAACAAACTAGACATGAAACTGATATTTGTCATTGATTCAACGGCTCGGATACACTAGCAGATTTAATCCTGCATACTTCAGTGAGGTTGAAGAATACCTGGAATTTATTGAAAGAGAAAGAAAATTGAAGTCAGCTTGAGTAATAGCAACACGGCAGTGAACTCTCAGCAGCAACAAGAGTGATTTGAACCAAAATTTTCACAAAAAATGACCCAGCACCATGGCACAGCAAGACAGCATTCAATTTGATCCAAAATTGACTCAATTACACTCAAAGATCCATGTGAAATTAAGTCTAATAAACCTTTGGAATTTCAGCGGATGGAAACTAAGCTAGAAGAACGTAATTCATTCCTAAAAATGAAAATTAAGCTCAGATTTCTAATGAAACAGTAATTTTAACTTTTCTACTGGGTTTTCTCTTTTTTTTTTTTTGGATTTTTGAAGGTTTTAAATCTCTAAATCAGATCTGAAAACAGAGGGGACTTTCTGAGGAAAAAATTTTTTGGTCTTTCCAAAACTTCCAGGGAATTTTCCAAGGGTCTCCAAAACTTGCTGCACAAGGCAATGTAGGTGCCTTTTATAGGCAAAACCTAAAGTTACCTTCAGATTTTAGTTTTCTTTTTAGTCCCTCTCCTATTTAGTTTTCAGTCCCTTATTTTTAAGACTTATTACCCAAGTAACAACACTTATTTTATTAAAAACTACACTAAAGTCTATTCTAGAAGGTCCTACACCTATTGCAATTCCTACACTACCCTTCCCCTACTTTTACAATTACTATTCCTAATAAAACTACCCTTTTCTATGCCCAGATTACCCTTTAATTGTACCATAATTACTGGCCTATACCATTTTAAACCTGGTCCTATTACTTTGGTTGAGGTTAACTATGGTTAAACCAAAACTGCTAGGTTAAATCAGCTATATCCAAACAATGTGAATTATTGAACTAAGGATCCTATTGTTTTCCTTATTATTCCAAAAAGAAACAAGCCAGACTAATTAATCCAGTGATGCACAAATATTTAACAGCAACCAAGAGGATTGAGACTAAAAAGAACATTCATGGTTCGTCTAATTGAAAGCAAACACTGAATTATCCAAACAGAACCACATTACACAACACCAAGAAGAATTAATCTGAACAAAATCAACTAGAACCCTACAAGTTCTAAATGAAATTATTATGTGCAAAATAAGAAGAAAACCAAGCCAAGAAAAGAGAACTTACTAATTTTTGAGACCACAGAATTCGCTTATTCTCGAAGTTGGTCTTGAAATAGTATTACGTGTGTGTTCCTAACCAGAACAAACACCTAACACGATTTCAAGACCCCTCGAA